TTAAAAAAAAAAAAAAAAAAAGGTATTACACCCCTCCCCCTTTCTGGTTGTTAGAGTGAAGCATATGCTGATTTTAATTTAGATGAAAAGTGCACCCCAGGTATCAGAAGTCTGGGAAACACTGTGCTAATGTCTGTACTTCATAGATGATAATGACCGTCCTGAATAATCCAGATCTTCCACTATCAGGTTTTTGCTGCAGCTGTCTTGTCTATTGGCTACCTCATAAATTTCTCTTATCCTGTTTTTGGCATAAAACTCAGTGTGTGCGTGTGACACACACACTGAATTTTATGCAAGTTTTTTCTACTCCCATCTGCTACTTAGCTCTACTATGCCTATTTCTCTCCCAGGGACCTGAAGAAGGATACTGATACCCAAAAGCTTGTCTATCCCAACCATGCAGTTTGTCCAATAATAAATATTAACCCCCACAGATTTGTGCTGCTTGTGTATTTTACAATTAATCATCATTGAAGCAAACTATGAAAAGTACAATCCAATATTAGTATTCACACTAGACACAAACCTGCATATCCAGCAGCCGCTAGTGTCAGGCCAACTGCTATCATAGTAGTAGCCTGGGTCAGGGGCAGAAAAAATAGTCATTAGAAATGGGGGAAAAATGGTAATCTCTAAAATTAGACTAATTAAAACATAGATAAAATGAATTTAAGCCTCACTAGAAGACCTTACATTTTAATGTTGTGGACTCTGCTGTTTACTTGAATATTAATGGAAACATTAAGCAGTAGTTTATAAAGCCCCTCTTCCTTCAGTTCAAACTACAGACAGAACAATTGCTGTTAACCTCAGATATAAAAAGCTTCAGGAAATTCTCCTTGTCTATAGAAATACACGCTGCACTAAAAACATTAATGCACTTTGGCTGACTTTTTTTAATGTTATTGGAGCATTAGAGAAAAAAATTCCTGGAAATAAAACCTCTCTACCCCCACCTACTTTACATAATTTCTTTTATAGCTATTTATATTTTGCATACATTTAACTGTTCAGTGTTTCAAAGCTTTTTATAGCTTTATATTGAATGCAGTCAGATCAGAACACTTCTGGATCCTATTTCCATTTCTCTCTCAGATTTACTGTATCACTTCAGGTGATTCATTTAAATCTTGTCAACTTAAATTCTCCCATTTTTACTACAGGTGATATTTTATCTTCTTCACAAGCACTTTTGTGCTTTTTATAAACATCAACTGAAACATATTATGTTTCACAGATGCTACCAAGAACTGAATGTAACAGTTTAGTCTTGATTAGCCAATCCTCATCCCAGATATTCAGTAACTTTGAATAATGCAGCTTTTGGGGAACTGAACAACAAACAAGTGAAGATGCGATAGTGTGACAAGGAAAGGAGGCACTACTTCATTGTCAGGGCGGCTAGGATCTGGAACCAACTTCCAAGGGAAGTGGTGCTGGCTCCTACCCTTGGGGTCTTTAAGACAAGGCTTGATAATCACTTTGCTAGGATCACTTGACCCCAGTACCCTTTCCGGCCACGGCAGGGGGTTGGACTTGATGATCTGCTCAGGTCCCTTCCGACCCTACTAACCATGAAAGCCCGTGTCCATGGGGGAGGCTTGATAGGGACTGCTCACAAAAACTGCCGCTTTTCCACATATAGGAAAAGCAGGGCTGGCATCAGAGGGAAGGACGGGCCTGGTGTCTTTTGCAGGGCTGGGAAGGACCTTGCAAGGTCACCTCCTGGCACAAGACAGGATCAGCCCTGACCAAACTGTCCCGGTCCTGTGCCCCTCCAGCCCACTCTTGGAAGTTTCTAAAGATGGAAATTTTTTCTCCCCTTGTAAACAATACAGGATCAGCCTCGCAGCCAGACATTTTCTTCTAATCTCTGACCTCAATCTCCCCTGCTGCAGTTTGGGGACAACTCTTCCTCGTCCTGCTCACCAGCACATCCCCACTCCATCCTCTCTCCCCTTTCCTGGCAGGGAATTAAAATCCCCGCCCCCATCAGTCTGTTCTTCTCCAGCCTCAGTTTTGTACATCCTGCTTCCCAGGCCCCCTAGTCGCTGGTGCCCCGCGCTGGAGGCTTCCCAGTTAGTGCACATCCCCCAGGGGCCGCCGCGGGCAGGGCTGATTTCCCCGCTGCCTCCTCCGCCCCGGGGGTACACTTGACCCCCCGCCGGGCCGCACTCACCATTGCTGCTCGCCGCGCGGCCCGTCGCAAAGTGAGCGCCGAGTGTCGTAAAAGGGCTCCGCCCCCCCGGGCAGGGGAGCGGAGCCCGGGCGGCGAGTCGCGCGCATGCGCTGGGGCGCCTGTCGGGTTTTGACGTGAGCGTGTGGTGCGAGGCTGGGTACAGGGTTTGGCCTTGCCCCACGGTTGTGCGACGTCAAAGCGGAGCCGACGTGGTGGTTTACACAAGAGACACCAGCGTCAATTAACGCGGGTTAGTTAGTCCAGACTGTAGTGTGTTTAATGAGGATCCGCCACAGGTGCACTCATGAGGGCAGTGGGCTCACCCCGTGGGAGGGTAGCACCATACAGCTGGTTTTCACCTCGAGGCCTGTTTCTTTGCAAGTCGGACCGGGGACAGCCCAGCCTGCCTGGGGGCGGGGGGTGACGCTGTCTGCACCAGGACTGGGACACAGCAGCTCCCAGAGCCAGGCCAAAAACAAACGTTTGCGCCCTGAACCTGCTTCAAAGTTCACTTTGCGCCCTGAACTGGATAAAACACAAGTTTGTACCCTGAACCGGGCACAAAGTTCGCTTTATACCCCAAACCAGGGGAAAACCCAAAATTTTGTAACCCGAACTGGGCAAAAACCCAAAATGTTGTAACCCAAACCAGGCAAAAACCCCAAAGCGTGTACCCTAAACGGAGTACAAAGTTCAGTTTGTATCTCAAACCAGGTTAAAAAACAAAAGTTTGTACCCAGAACCCGGCAAAAAACTAGCAAGTTTGTACCCAGACCTAGGTCCAAAGTTCAGTTTGTATCCTGAACCGGGCAAAAAACAAAAATTCAATCTACTTCCTGTGAAGATTTAAAACAAGTGCATTTGCCCTGGTCCTCTTTACATCTTGTTTTAATAAGCTCAAACTGACTGTCTCGGAAAGTGTTCACAGGACAAGGGCCTAATGCTGCATGTAGAATGGGTCAACTATGTGAGGCTTCCTGAATTTTAGCCCCCAATTGCAGGTTGCTGTAACTAAGGTGTGGAGGGAAATCTGGGGGACGCTAGCCTGTTAACCCAGTCTTACTATTGCTGAAGTCAATGTGAGATTTGTTGAAGAGGCCAAAAAGATTGAAACATAGTCTGCCCACATCACACCTAGAGTAATGCAGTATTAACATGTGCATGGGAAGAGAGTGATAAAAGATTTATTTTTGCTGAAAAAGGCTATTATGTTTGCGCACACTTGTAAAAAACGGTTTAGCTGGTATGGTGCTGTCCGTTTTTGGTCCCTGTAGACCAGGGCAAATCAGATTCAGCATGTTGGCTTGTCATAATTGAAACCTCAGTCCTTCCTTTGTGTTTAGATGGCACACTGACAAATACAGTTTATATTGTATATTTATTATCTAAATACTCTGATAAATACAGCCATAGATCAGAAAGGCGGAGTAACCGTAAGTCATTTAACACAGTTTTCAGTGAAAGCTTGTACTGTACAACTAACAGCAGAGGTGGGGACTATTTTCAGGCTCTTTGAAGCTGCAGCGAACTGGGGATTCTTTGAATGCAGAATAACGCTGCTTCAGGAATATTGGAGAAATTATATCCCCTCAGCCTGTAATCCTGAACTTGGCTCTGGAGTGCTGTGGACTTCATGGACTCAGTCTGAGTCTTAGTTGACATGTCTGCATTGCAAAATTCATTGATGCAATTGGCACTGCTTGGCACTCTCTTGTTTGCAGTCTTAGCAGACCAATAGTTGGAAGAATTGGAGGCTGATCTAAACTCAGAATAAGAAAAGCAATCTCCACAGGTGTAACTTGAACCACATTAGCATAGTAGTATGAAAATGTCTGACTAAATAGATTCCTACAGCCTTGATTCATAGATTCATAGATTCATAGATTAAGGGTCGG